GCCTTGCTTCTGCCCACCACTGCTTGTGTAGGCATCTCAAAGAGCAACGCAAGAAAATGAGTATTTGAGAAAGTAGGAAATGATCCCTGTAAAGTTAATGAAAGAAGGAGAACGCCCCAAACAAACAACAAAAAAGGTAAAAGCTGTAAAAACGGCCTGACTAGATGTTGGAGAGATATTGTCCCATGTAGGGCACAAAGAGCAGAATGTCCATGTGTGGTGGGTTGACCCTGGCTGGACACCAGGTGCCCACCAAAACCTCTCTATCACTCCCCTCCTCAGCTGGACAGGGGAGAGAAAATATAATAAAAGGCTCGTGGGTTGAGAGAAAGACAGGGAGATCACTCAGCAATTACTGTCACAGGCAAAACAGACTTGACTTGGGGAAATTAGTTTCATTTATGACCAATCAAATCAGAGCAGGATAATGTGAAATAAAACTAAAACTTAAAACAGCTTCTCCCCACCTCTTCCTTCTTCCTGACCTTAACTTCACTCCCAGTTTCTCTACCTCCTTCCCACGAGTGGTGCAGGGAGACAGGGAATGGGAGTTGCAGTCAGTTCATCACACACTGTCTCTGCCGCTCCTTCCTCCTCAGGGGGAGGACTCCTCACACTCTGCCCCTGCTCCAGCGTGGGGTTCCTCCCTCAGGAGACAGTCCTCCATGAATTTCTCCATCATGAGTCCTTCCCATGGGCTGCCGTTCTTCATGAACTGCTCCAGCGTGGGTCCCTTCCATGGGGTGCAGTCCTTCAGGAACAGACTGCTCCAGCGTGGGTCCCCCACGGGGTCCACAGGTCCTGCCAGGAGCCTGCTCCAGCATGGGCTTCCCATGGGGTCACAGCCTCCTTTGGGCACCCACCTGCTCCGGTGTGGGGTCCTCCACGGGCTGTAGGTGGATATCTGCTCCACCGTGGACCTCCATGGGCTGCAGGGGGACAGCCTGCCTCACCATGGTCTTCACCACAGGCTGCAGGGGAATCTCTGCTCCGGCACCTGGAGCACCTCCTCCCCCTCCTTCTTCACTGATCTTGGTATCTGCAGGGCTGTTCCTCTCACATATTCTCACTCCTCTCTCCGGCTGCAGTTGAACAGGTTGGGTTTTTTTTCCCCCTTCTTAAATATGTTATCCCAGAGGCACTAGCGCCATTGCTGATGGGCTCGGCCTTGGACAGTGGTTGCCAGTCTTGGAGCCGGCTGGCGTTGGCTCTATTGGACACAGGGGAAGCTTCTAGCAGCTTCTCACAGAAGCCACCCCTGTAGCCCTGCCGCTACCAAAACCTTGCCTCACAAACCCAGTACACCATGGTGAATGAAGCCAGAGGAATTTATGTGTGTGAATATCTCTGTTCGATTGTGTAGGACAGTGTTATGAAACCTGCTTAGATTTGCAGGCCCCTAAATATTTTTCAAAGGATTTTCTCTCTGTTGCCTTTTATGCACACCCCAGAGGCAGCCTCCAGCACCTGTGTTGGTCGCTGGACCACAGCGGGAGGCCTACAGATGTAGAGCATTGATCTTAAAAAGATGTTCTTCTTCCTGGAAAGAAGTCAGCTCTTAAATAATCACAGGTGGTCCCCAAGGCAGCTTCAGCCCCAGCATGCCACTGTCTAGCACTCAGAAGGAAAGCTAATACCTCTGCCCATCAAACCAACACTCCCTTTCCTCCAGGGCTATCTTTCTTCTTTGGAGGTTTCCCATCTAAGTTGTGAACACCTTTGTACTGTGTATTAGCCTGGCTCAGGATGAAGGGTTTGCTTGGCAGCTTTCTTTTTTTTGCAGTGCTTGATTATAAACACCTGCCTTTTGACATGGGAATGAGAATTTGCTAGATTTGGCTGTTGTCAGTAAAATGAGGGTTGAGCATAAGCCATGGCTCAGTCAGGCATTTCCCAGTGTTGCACATGGGCTTTCCATCAGGAAAGACGTTACTATGACACATGGAGCCAGTCTTCCTCTCTGTACACCCTAAACTTTTGAAATAAGGAAATGGAGAGGTTTTCACGTCACATAAATTTCCATTAGAGAAGCAGCAGAGGAGGAGGAAAGGGTGGGGCCGGCTGCTCAGCCAAAGAGTCCGCTGATGACCTAGGCATCAGTCTACGGATGAAGTTCTCAGGTGGAGGCAGGTTTTCTGGCTCACAGAGCCAGGCCAGGCTGTTATGAAGTTTCCCCCACAGTCCTGGCTCTGGAGGCTGTGTCCTGATTACGGAGAGATTTTCCAGCCTGTTGGCATGACTTTCCTGAGTTTCCTTTGGGGAGAAGATGGGTGCATGGGGGAACACAGTGCATCCCGGTCGGTCCTCACTGTGGAGTCAGGATACAGCCCAGGCTCCAGTCATGGGGCACTCTTCCCCCTTGCTTAGCTCTTTCCCCTTGCTTAGATCCCTATGAGGCCCAGAAGCCAGTCTTCATTTTTCCATGCTTCCAGCACCTGGAAAATGGAGCTGATGATAATGCTTTCTTTCCCCTTCTCTTCACCTGTGGGCATTTGTCATGCCATTTTCTGGAAAAAATGTACACTCAACAGCATTGTTTGTGGATCAATAATTACTCCTAATGCTGTGTTTTGAAGGTCAATGCAAATTTTTCCTCCCCTTTCACTTACTGTTCTCATTTTTGATGTACGTGGTGCTGGCCACAGGCAAGCCTCTGTGGAAGCCTTAAAAGAACGCACGTTTTCAATGAGCCTGTGACGCTCTCATTCCTAACATCTGCCTTTCCTTTCATTGAACGCCAATGACTCCTGGGCTTGCAGTGATACGAATTTTCCACAGGTCTCTCATGTAGTTCCACTTCTTTCTTTAGGCTGCCTTCCACAAACTCATGCTTACGCTCAAGCTCAGCATGAGTAATAGGCCCAAGTGGTAGCTGGAAGAAGAAGCAGGCAAGCTGCTGTCGGAGAATAATTTATTAAATGATCTTGTACCATGTTTCTGCTTTGGGAAATATGAGTCTGAACCACATCCATTGTAGCTTTTCCATAGACTTAAGTGGTAGCTGCATCATAGCCTGACTATGAATGAGTGTTGTGGTTTAACCCCAGTTGACAACTAAGCACCACACAGCCTCTCGCTCACTCTCCCCCCTGCCAGTGGGATGGGAGGAGAGAATCGGGAAAAAAAAGTAAAACCCACAGGTTGAGATAAAGACAGTTTAACAGGACAGCAGAGGAAGAAAAAAATAGTAATAATAATAATGATGAAAGAATATAGAAAACAAGTGATGCACAATGCAATTGCTCACCACCCACTGACTGATGCCCCGGCTGTCCCCGAGCAGCAATTGCTGCCCCCCAGCCAGCTCCTCCAGTTTATATACTGGGCATCACGTCATATGGTACGGAACAGCCCTGTGGCCAGTCTGGGCCAGCTGTCCTGGCTGTGCCCCCTCCCAGCTTCTTGTGCACCGGGCAGAGCACGGGAAGCAGAAAAGTCCTTGACCAGCGTAAGCACTACTGAGCAACAACAAAAACCTCAGTGTATCAACATTATTCTCATCCTAAACCCAAAACACAGCACTATACCAGCTACTAGGAAGAAAATTAACTCTATTCCAGCCAAAACCAGGACAATGAGATTTGCTTTTCTCTAAGTTAATTGTTCTTAAACATTCGGTTTTTTGACGTACAGGTAGCCAGCTCTGTGCCAGTTTACCATCTGCCTAGGCTGCGTAACAGCCAGTACTTGTCACGTGCATGTTACTCGCTCAGCTGTTTATCTGCACTTGAGTGGATAACTGGAAGAGCATAAAGGGAGCAGGCTTTCTAATGACCTGGAAAGATCAGTATTCCCAAACACGTTCCCTTTTAGTTATGGATATTCACATAAAAGCGATCTTTCCTGAGTGGTGGAATGGAGAACTGGTTATAGAAGAGCACATACAAACCAGATCAAACTCAGAAGGAGGTAGGTGTGGGAACACAGAAGGTGTTTGAGATTTAAGCCATTCGCAGCTCCACATCCACTGAGTGTTGGCTGGGTCTCTAATGAATACCTACTGAAACATGTTTCAGTTTTGCTTTTAATGTTTTTTGTGAATTATGTGAGCATAAAATCAGTTAGAGGAGTAATGAGGGGGTGCAGCCAATAGTGAAACTCACCACCTTCAGCTGAGCTTAGGACCTCAGCTTTGCTTTGACTCATGGAGACATGAACACCCATGTCACCCTTCTCCACAGGGAGAAGTTAGTCCTATTGCTTCCTCCCGACTTGGAGTCCTGACATTTATTTCAGTAATACCTTTTATTCCTGTGATTAGGGACTTTTTCAGTCTTGAAAGTACTTTCTCAGTCTTGAACCCCAGCTTCCCAGTTAAGCCACTCACACATTTATGCAAAAGACGTTTCTATGACTTTTTTTGTTAACAGAGATTTTTTTAGCTCTGAATTTAAAACAAAACAAAACAAAAAAACACCCCATAAGAAACAGTAACAACACTTCTCTCTTACCAGTATCCCAGCTCCCAGAATGCCATGGAAAAACCAGACCAGATCGGTTATCTCGCTGAGCTGCAGAACTCGTCCGTTGGGGAAGTACAGGAGGATGTTGGAGACTATGGCACATGCCGCCAGCGGGAACAGGGTGATCCCAATGCACTTCGAACACTTCCCCGTGCACATGGTAGCTGAGGAAAGACACAGGGAGGTTTGGGTTACTGCAGCACAGAGAGCACGGGATTTCAGCATTTTTCTTCTTTAATGAAAGAAAAATCAATTTTGAAGCAAGAAGTGTTCCAGTTAAGACTTACACAGAGAATCCTGTTCTACAGAGCCTGTTCCCTTCAGAGACTTTATTTAAAATGGAATTATTAAAAACTGGAATGTTTAACTGAATTTATTTAAAATTGCCAGGACTAAACATGTGTTGGTACAAAATGAACGGAGAGTTTCATTGTAGCTGTTAATGGACAATTGTCTGTCCATTTGGAACATCAGTAACACAACCATGGCCACGCAAACTGATGCCCTGGCTGGCAGACTTCATGATGGGGCTAAGGCCTTGGGTGGAAGGGCAGGTGGCTGCACCAGGTTGTCTGGGACCACTGTCTTGGGAAGCTGATTTGAAATATTCTGCACTGAAGGTCTAGAAGAGCAGGAAATGACTGCCAGGAA